AATGAGGCTTGGTACGATATAGATTCATCCACTTCAGGAGTAGGTGGAGATTGCGAACTAGCAATCTTGTACCGTGGCGGGGCATGTTAGTGTAACCTGGACGTAGGTGGATGAGATCACGGATCGCTAAAGCGCTGAACAAATTCAAACGAGATAAAATGGCAATAATGCCCCCAATTACTCACCTGCTACTGCTGGCGGAAGGGTAAATGATTCTGGGCCTCAGCGACGGTTAAGGAGAGTTGGGGGCCAAATTGGCTTGGTGGTACGGCTGACGATGAAACTCATTGTTGAACCTGATCATCTTGTCGTTCTTTGATCTAAACAACGTTCAAACTGAAAAAAGGATAAAATAAAAGGAACAATTTGAAGACTAAGTATACGACAAACAATGGTATTAATAGAAACTCAGGTTAAAGCATGCGGCGGTGAGTATATTGCTGGGAAGGAGAAGCCATGTCGACTTCTAGCACCGTCGGTGGGTACGACGTTTGCCCTTGCGCGAACCACGGCGGTCGTAGGGATTATTGAAATATCTAAAGCAAACAGCATCAACCTACAGTAGGTTGCTCATCGGCCCCGTCTAGCAGAATACAGACCGTAGTTCTTTGTTTTGGCAACAATTTCGTGGAGCTGGGATGAAAGCATGACAAAGATTATGAAGATGACCTCATATGGTTTGCCAATGTTAGTGCCTGGGTTAAATGTAGATCGCAAACACTTCTATCCATCATTTACTCTCATGCCCTGGCTATGACCATATATTAGTATTCAAAGCTATCAGAGAGGTCTGTATCTACCTGAAGTCCAAGATCGTGATCTTCTAAAAATTTCTTGCCAAGCAACTTTTCAGGAAGATAGACTTGGGCCACTTTTCCATCAACATAGTTCGGATTATATTTGTATTCCTTCCCATACCCCATTTCTTTCATCAACTTTGTCGGGGCATTTCTTAAATGGATGGGAATTGGCAAGCCAGCCATCCCGGGTTCTTCTAACACTGCTAGCGCGTTGCCAAGGCCCCGATAGGCCCTTGTGCTCTTCTTAGATAAAGCCAAGGCGACCGTCGCTTGAGCGAGGTTAATGCGAGCTTCAGGCATGCCAATTTTCTCCACTGCGGTATACGCAGAGGTTGCAAGCGTCAGCATCGTATTATCGGCCAGTCCAATATCCTCAGAAGCAACTACGATTAGCCGTCGAGCGATGTAAAGTGGGTCTTCCCCGGATTGAATCATTCGCGCCAGATAATAGAGAGCGGCATCAGGGTCGTTGCCCCGAATGGACTTGTGGAATGCGGATATAGTGTCATAATGTTGGTCACCGACCCGATCGTAGACGAGTGTTTTTGTTAAAGACTTTTTAAGATCCTCCTTAGTCATTCCTTCACGGCGCGACAGGTCCATTGTGAGCTCCAATAAGTTGAGGGATGTTCGAGCATCCCCATCAGCAAAGGCGGCGAGATACTTAATTAGCTCGTCGTCTACTAGAGGAGAGGGAGAATAATTGGAGCCTTCGACTTCCAGCGCGCGATTAAGTATCGAAACGATATTCTCGACTGTGAGTTTCGCGAGAGTAAACGTGCGGCATCGCGACAACAGAGCATTTTGGATCCTGGACGAAGGATTCTCGGTGGTAGCGCCAATGAACGTTATTTGACCACTCTCAACAGGGCCAAGGAAAACATCCTGCTGCGATTTGGAAAATCGGTGGATCTCGTCACAAAAAAGGATGGTTTTCTTCCCAGACAAACTGAGCTCATTCTTTGCTTCAGCAAATAGCTTCTTCCATTCTGCGATTCCAGAGTTGGTGCTGTTGATTTCCACAAATCTGCTGCCGACCATCTTTGCAATGACGCGCGCAATAGTCGTCTTCCCTGTTCCAGCACCACCCCAAAGTATCATGCTTGGTACCCGGTCCTGTTCAATGAGCCCACGAAGCACCCCTGATGGCCCAACAAGCTCCTGTCCGCAAACGTCGTCTAATGTCTGTGGACGCATACGTTCCGCTAGCGGAGCTGCATTTTTAAGTGCATTAGACGTCCGGTTCCGCTTAGTCGTGCAGCCACCGTCCTCCAAAAAATCCGGCTTAGCATTTCTAGGTCGGCCTAGATCTTGCTGCGGACCACCGTGATCCGCGAACGATCGCTTCCTCTTGAGACTTTGGGTCGGTGTAGGAGATGTTGCCAGGCCGTCTATTTTCGATATTGGTAGAGGAGCCGCCTTTCTTACGGAGTTCTGGAAAAATGACGAGACAGGAAGAGTTGTTTGAGCTCCTTGAGAAGAGCCATCAGTTGTTTGGCCTGAGTCGACGTCAACGAAGCTTTGGCAATCGGAGTCAAGGTGGGAGTTGATCTTGGTTTCTTTCACGAACTTTTCGCAAATTGGACATTTGACCATAATTGAAAATGCCCTACAGCCCTGCCGGGGTAATTCACAGGTATGCCAGCTTGTTGTGACTATCAAACATGCAGGAGAGTTGATCAAAGATCCGTCTGTATCGGGACGCTTGGAGTGAAAGAGATGCTCGGCGTGGAACGCGTTGACGTTGAAAGGTTGATGACTAATCTTCCGGACTATCATAATCCCGGCGCCCTCTGCCCAGGCTTCCCGCATGCTATCCAACTTCCAAGCGTCAGCTCAAATAATGATATATTTGAGCTTGATACCTTTTGTCCTTGTTGATATTGTGTGTAGGCTTGCTAGTTGCTTGCTTTCGTAAGGGCCTGTGTTCGAATGTTTAACCCCTTGGTGGGCAATGTTCTCTGCACCTGCACGCCACTCCATACATTCACTCCAAAACATAGGTTGCTCACAGTCCTCCCCAATCTCCAGAGCAGCAATTCGAGGGATGTCTTCAGCCGAAGCACGGCAGGATCCTTTTCGCCCAGCGAACCGGGTTGCAGGACAGAGACAAGATGTCTGGTATTGTACACCTGATCGGCTGGATGTCTCTGGGGAATTTTCTACTCATTGTCATTCCTAGGTCAATTGTCAATGAAGCTGCGGCTGCGTCACCAGTTCAACCCATTGTAAATATGGGTCAAGGGTTTTTGTGAGTATGCGCTTGGGGCTGTACTGGGGATCACCCGTAATTTTGAATTGAAACTTATGGAGGCTTCAAAAATCCTCGCTCCAGTGGTTATAATCCCCCCAAGTTTGTCATCGATGCAGCAAAAGATGCCCTGGACAAGGTCGAATGCAATCAATATGCGCCCACAAAGGTCCTTTCCAAATTCATTAATTTTAGGTTTTCTGTGCTTTGGAATGTCCAAATTAATACTTAAATAGGGTGTTCCACGGCTCAGGAAAGCCATTGCTGCTGCATATTCTCCTTTCTTTGGTCGAGAACTCAACCCTGACACAGAAGTGACAATCACTACCGGCGCCAATGAGGGTTAGACTTCACTAACTCTTGTCTGAAATTGAAGTAAAAGACAAGCTAATAGGTAAATATATAGGCATGTTGAGCGCCTTCATGGGGTTTATTGAAGAAGGAGATGAAGTGATTATTTTTGAGCCGTTCTTCGATCAGTGCGCTCTTCCTCCCCAGCCCCATCCCCACATTGACACCGCTCCTGGACACTGACTCTTTAATAGATATATAAGCAATATTGAGATGCCCGGAGGGACAATAAGATATGTTCCTCTACACCCTCCCAAAGATGGAGCATCGAGGACTTCTTCGGCTGCGGAATGGACAATAGATTTCGATGAGCTCGAAAGAACTATCAACTCCAAAACGAGAATGATTGTACGTTTGTGATATTGCCCATCGCCCCTGCCGATGATTTTCCAGGTTTTTATTCCTTTCATTTCTGACCCTTCTAACTAGGTTCTTAACACTCCGTATGTCAATGTATTTCCGCCGGACATATATGAGAATCCTTTTTAATACCATATACAGCCATAACCCAGTCGGTAAAGTCTTTTCGCGCGCGGAGCTTGAAAAAGTAGCTGCGCTCTGTGTTAAGCACAACATCATAATACTCTCTGATGAAGTTTATGATCGCCTTTACTACGTCCCATTTACGCGCATGGCCACCTTGTCTCCCGAGGTCGCCGCGCTCACGCTGACAGTCGGGTCGGCAGGAAAGAATTTCTACGCAACCGGCTGGAGAGTAGGCTACTTAATTGGTCCCGAGCACCTTATAAAATATGTTTCAGCAGCACATACTAGGATTTGTTATAGTAGTGTTGCACCATTGCAAGCAGCCGCAGCCGTTGGTTTTGAGAAAGCAGACGAAGTTGGATTCTGGGACAAAAGTAGAGCAGAAATGAGAGCAAAAATGGACAAGTTCTGCGAAGTGTTTGATGAGCTTGGTATTCCTGTAAGTTTGGGATTCGTCCGTTGTGATATACATTGGGATTCAACAGCTCAGCAGCTCCTTGATACTAATATTTCCCCGCATTAGTATTCTGACCCGGAGGGGGGCTATTTTGTCCTTGTAAACATGGCTGCCGTCAAGCTTCCGGAAAATTACCCGTTTCCTCCACATGTTGCAAACCGCCCCCGCGATTTCAAACTGTCCTGGTTCCTTATTCAAGAGGTTGGGGTTGCGGCTATCCCACCGACAGAATTCTATACAGACACCAACGCCCATATCGCTGAGGATTATCTGAGATTTGCTGTGTGCAAAAATGATGACGTTTTGGAGACTGCAAAGGAGCGTTTACGTGGACTTAAGAAGTACATCATCCGTTCATGATTTCGGATAGAAATTATTTTCGGGATCTATGTAGTCGTGGGACTTGAGAATTTTGAGAAACTTAAATCTACAAGCGATTCTAACAACATCTCGGTATATTTTTAAATAGCTAGTTATATAGAATATTTGTCTAGACAGGTGACTTCTTACAGAAGATACCTTAGCATTTTTAACCTGATTACCTGTGGCTCTCTTACTTCAAATTCTTGCCTCTTCGACCCTATTTCTTCTCCCTGATGCTTTCTTTGTGCCGAGCTTGTACTGCGCGCTAAGCTCCTTTGAGTTTGGCATCGACCAGTCGTCTTTCTCCCCTCGAGAGACGGAGAAAAAAACATGATAGGGACAGACGACAGACGACAGAGAGACCAGTTACACCGAATCTGCGGAAGAGTCACCGATCCGGTCGCTTGTTTCGAGTATTAATTTGACTAGCAGTCTACATTTGCATGCGCGATTGGTGGCCCAAATTGATACTACATTCCTGCAAAATATTTCCACCTCTTCGCCATCCGCCGCCCCTGCATCACCAGTTTTCGAACGGCATGCGATCATGGGTGACCAGCAGAATATTTCCCAGATTCTGGCAGCCTTAGGTATTCCAGTGTCATCTTCGTCGGAGTGATAGTCTTATCCTCGTTCTTTTTTGCTTTTGCTTTTTTGACTCGGACAATCTGCTTACCTTTGCCTTACTTTTCGTGCTAGCTGCCCACCAGTCTACGAGCGCCGCTGGAAATACATCCTCTCCTCAACCAGGGCAAATGCCCTTAAACACATACCCAGGAAGCTACCACCACTCAGCGACATCAGCAAACGTAGCCAATTACTCTTTACCACCCCCTGATAATACCGGGAGTTTAGATATCAGCGGCGCCAAACCTGTTAACACCGGCTCAGTTAGCATCGCAGACGCAATTGCCAAAGCGCGAGGGATTGCTGCCGAGAAAGGCATTGTACACGACCCAAACAGAGGTATGATATTGCGCATATAGGTTCCGGTCTTCTGTTGTTGTAGTTGCATTCCCCCTTGTTCTGTGAGCCAGTTGTGTCCCTTTTTGCTGACCCAGGACCCTGTCCGGGGCTCCTCGGGAAGTAGATTCACGACGCGACCCACGATCCTATCATCGTTCGCAATCTCCACAAAGAAGCCCTCCGCGAATTACGCGTGATACGTTCCGTGATAATTACAATCCGTATCGCGATGAGCGTCGCGCTGATAGGCGCGCTAGTACGAGTGAGCGTGGTTATACACGGGAGCGTTCGTTCTCGCCCCGCCCAGGCGGGCGGGGACAGGAATCGTACTCCCCACAACCATCGTCGAGACAATATTGGGGAGCAAATGACCGGGCTCCTCCACAAGGTCGCAGACCGGGCAGTATGGACGAAAATATCGAAACCATTAGCGTTGAGTCTAGCTTGGTTGGCCTAATCATCGGGCGCCAGGGCGAGAGTTTGCGGAGAATCGAATCGGAAACTGGAACGAGGATACAGTTTTTGGATAATGCTGACCCCAGCAGTACAGTCAGGCCTTGCAAAATCACAGGAAGCAGGGCCGCCAGAGGTGATGCGAAAGCGGAAATCACGCGCATTATCAGTGAGAGTAGTGCGTCGCGATCCGGTGCTAGGGCAGACCGCCCAGGCCACATGCCACCTAAAGCTGCGAGTCAGCCTTCCCAGGACGACGAGGATGCCGTACGGATCATGGTTCCTGACCGGACGGTTGGGCTTATTATCGGCCGAGGAGGCGAGACTATTAGAGACCTCCAAGAGCGAAGCGGGTGCCATGTGAATATCGTAAATGAGAATAAAAGCATTAACGGGCTTCGCCCGGTCAATTTGATAGGGTCTCCTGAGGCTACGGAGCGAGCAAAGAATATGATTCTCGAAATCGTCGAGAGTGATACTCGACAGCTTGCGAACCCGACACAGCGCGAAACACGTCCACCATTTGGTGGAGATCCATCTGGAGGTGGGCCCGGCGGGGAGAAGATCAACGATATGATGTTTATTCCGCCAGATGCAGTTGGAATGATTATTGGAAAAGGTATTGTTACAGCCTTGTTTTAGTCTCCCCAGTTGTTTCTGTTGTTAACAAATCCAATACAGGCGGAGATACAATTAAAGAAATGCAGGCCATTTCTGGTTGCAGAATCAATATTCAGTCCCCGGTAGGCCGTGATGCTGATCGGGAAGTGACTTTGGTTGGGAGCCGGGGCGCCATCGAAGAGGCAAAGAGAATGATCATGGAGAAAATCGACAGTGCAGTAAGTAGCAACAGAGAAGAAGAGAAAACAAACCCATCCGGAATCCCATATAATTTCAGTGAACGGTGTTGACTTAACTCCTTGCTCAGGAATACAAATCTCGTTCTCAACAACCTCAACGGCGAGATGACTCGTATGGCGACCGATATGCCAGACCACAGCAGCGCCAGACGCAGCCGCATTACCAGGACTTCCAGGATCAGAACAGACAAGCCACACAACCTCCCGCTCAGCAACCCCCCTCTCAATCTAGCGGAGGGGAGGACCCTTATGCTCAGTGGGGAGGTTATCAAAACTATGTTGCTTGGTGGTACGCTGCCATGCAACAACAGGCACAGCAACAAGGCACGCAAGCTCCACCTGGTCAGTCTGAGCCGCCTGGCCCTCCTGGGGTCTCATAGGCTCATTGCCAGGCAAGGTTCCTCGTTCTATAAGTGGGTAAAATGTGCCTAAGCACTTTTACCTCCGTTGCGATACCCCCTACCCCCCATTAACATCTGATTCCCGGCATCCGCAAAATCGTGGAGCACGCGTGAAGCATGCTGTCGTCGATCTAAATTTCCGCAAATGTCCCTTCATATTCCTTTACGTCAATTTGTTCACTTCCAGTTTTACTGTATTCCTTTCGTCTTATCACGTTTTCTTTCCTATTTGGGCCAAAAACAAAAATGAGGATTTTCAACGGATAGCTCAACTTGGCGGATATGGGTTTTAATATAGTAACTTATTTTTTATGACTGCTGGAGTTAATTCTATCCTTGTACTTTTCCCACATCTTCCCCCATTTTCTGCTTTTCTTTTGTATTTCAACTGTGCTGTGTACATGTAGCTACTATATACTGTTGATGGAAGAATGATATCAATTATATACATAGCCAATGGCGTTTTGGTACCCACACCCCATGACATCATCGGCTGAGTTTAATTTTGAGCCGCCGTGATTATATAATCACTTGGCACTTCCCGCTTCATTGGACGCCGTGAATTTCCTGAAACGATTCATACATGAACAAACAACGACAACGACCCCCACGACCAGAGAATAAGAATAGCCATTGAGCGGCTATTCACCTGGGCCAGTGACAAAGGACTAGAAATCCCGTCGGAAACTGGAAATATCCTGAAACTCCGCTTTCTATCATGGGAAATCCCATATATTTCAAGGCTTATTGTGTTGCTGTCGCTGTACGCGCTGTGTGCGTTTCAGGGCAAAATAGAATCGGGTATCAACTTTTGGCGCCTGGCTATGAAATGGAGACAGAAACCTCTGGTCGCAGATATGCCCAAGCATGTCAGATCCCCAACTTACGATTGGTCTGGTGGGAATATTTTGCGCCCGCTCTAGCATGGGCGCCAACAAGTCTCTGGTATTTTTGGGACCGCCGCCTTGCAGCCAGAACTGGCCACTAGCAGCCGGCGCATGCTTGAGAACGTTCGATTCTTCAGACACTTCAAATGTGTTTCAAAACAATATGGTGGCTACTGATTTGCTCGCAGGGTGCCTACGGCGAAATAAAGAATGCTTGTCACCACTGAGCTTGCTTTCTTGCCCTTGCCAGGAGCTCTGTGGGGAGTCACCTACGGCTTGTAACGGTGCCTACAGTGCTCCACCACAGTTTTGTTTGGCAGTCTTCCAATATATGGTTTGTTGACTGCCCCTCTGTGTTGGTATTCACAACAAATTTTTAACAAAAGCATTCTCTTCCTTTCCTCATTGTCTTTGAGGGTTGCACTGTTTTTCTTCCTTTAACGGATTTCTTTTGTTTTAATTTTTGGCTGGCCCATTCAATAAACCTGAATAGACAACAATACCCATCTCGAATCGCTTCGGGAATAATCTTCTGATAGACTTCCACTATATTCTACTGTTCCTTCACTTCTTGTGTATCTCCCTTCTTTTTTTCCCTCCGTAATGGGATCCTTCTTCTTTTAATTTTTCTTTCTTTAATATTGTCTTTCTTCTATCTTGAAGTTTCCTCATATCTCTTAAACAGAGTACCTCCAACCACCTCTCTTTGGAACCGCTTACTTCTCAACCAATATACACAGCGCTGGTCGTAACCTGCCTACGATTTGAGGCCGTTTAACCTAACTATCATGAAATTCTCACGATTCATTCCACGGTCACGAACCCCTGGTCTACCTCCGTACGGCGAGCAGGATCCTAATACATTCGAAAATGGCTACCGGCCATCACCACCCCCAGGCGCCATTACTCCTTATCTTGGACTACGATCTCGGTTATCACAAATTTGGTTCAACCGATGGACCATACTGTTGTTGCTTATTCTCGCTCGGGTACTCATTGCCATCGGCTCACTGGATGGGAACCTGACCTCCGCAAAGAGAGAAGCCTTATCTGCTTGCTCAAGCGTGGAATCCGTGGGCAGCGCTATGGCCTCAATGCCTCATTATATGTCAAGGGGTGTAAATGAACTGACCGCGTCAGGCGTTGAGAAAGCGGTTAACGGACTTATGTCGATGCTAGAACTTACTATTACCGGAGTTGAAGAAATATTTGTTTTCTTCGTCAACGTCATGACCTCAACATACGTCTGCCTTATCACGCTGGTTGTTGCTGGAATGATGAATGCTGCCATCGAGGTTCTGAAAAAGGCAACTGAGTTCCTTGATGATATAGTTGGTAAGATCGGAGAGGGAATCAGCGATGGAGTCGATTTCGTAGAGAATGCACTTAACGGCTTTCGGAATACCATCAACCTTTTGGGCGCCGATATTCCTAAAGTCGACCTCAGTGGGCCCATCAAGGAGCTAGAAGATTTGTCACTACCAGACTCTTTGACTGATGACCTAGATAAGTTGAAAGAAAAAATCCCGAATTTTGAGGAGGTCAACAATTTTACAAACAATGCCCTCCGCACGCCATTCGAACTTGTGAAAAAACTCATCAGAGACGAAATCGACGAATATAAATTTGACCGCTCCGTATTCCCAGTACCCCCGAAGGAGCAGCTCAGCTTTTGCAATGACGACGATGGTATCCATTCATTCTTCAACAAATTGGCGTCATTTATAGGAACGGCCAAGAAAATATTCATTGGCGTATTAGTGGTCGGCGCGATACTGGTCTGCGTCCCAATGGCGTATCGTGAAATACGAGCCTGGCACGGTATGAAAGAACGATCATCCTTGGTGCGAAGAGATGCTCATGACCCTATGGATGTCGTCTACATCGTTTCGCGACCCTTCGCCTCAACAGCTGGCCTAAAAGCCGCAAGCCGGTTCAGTGCACCCCGTAGGCAGGTGCTTGTGCGATGGATCGTTGCCTACGTAACCTCTCCACCAGCACTTTTCCTACTCTCCCTAGGTGTTGCCGGACTCTTCTCATGCGCCTGCCAAGCCATTCTCCTGAGGGCCGTGAAAAATGAAGTTCCCGGCCTCACAGACCACGTCAGCAAGTTTGCTGAGAAAGTCGTTTTTGCCCTTAATAATGCCTCCGAACAGTGGGCTATCGGCACCAACCGCGTCATCGACGATACGAACAACGATATTAACCAAAAGGTCTTTGGTTGGGTAAACCAAACCACAGGGTCAGTTAACAATACCCTCAACATCTTCGTCGACGAAACCAGCAACCTCCTCAATAGAACCTTTGGTGGCACGATCCTCTACGAACCAATCAAGGACGTCCTGCACTGCCTCATTGGCCTGAAGATCGAGGGAATTCAGAAGGGTCTGACTTGGGTATCTGAACATGCCCACGTGGATTTCCCCAACATGCCCAAGGACACTTTTTCCCTAGGTGCCATCGAGAAGCTCGCCGGGGACAATGATTCAACCGCAGACAGTTTCATCGCGAACCCGGGCGATAAGACTGCCGACAAGATCGGAGAGGTGGTCCAGCGCGTCACAGACTCTGTAGAATCTGGCATCCGAACCGAAGCCATCATATCCGGTGTCATCATATCCATATGGTTTGCCGTTCTTCTGATGGCGATCATTCGAGCACTTACGCTCTGGTTCGGCCCTGACAAGACCCGCGGCGACGGAAATGGTGACTCTGAATTCCCCCACCCTGACACCTTGCCCAGAGACGCGGCGGGTTTCAGTGACATTCCTCTTGCAACTCCAACCCATGTTCATCCTGGAATGGTAGATAGATCTGCACCGGTATGCAGCACAAGGCACGACTCTCCTGGACAAGGCTTCAATCGGGCTCATGATGCAGAGGATTATTATCAGGAGCAGAAGCTGGGGTTTGCGGGCCAGCGGGAGTTGAGAAGGGATGGTGGAGGCCATTCGCGTGAGAGCAGCTATGGGGAGGTTGAGTATGTGAATGATGTCAAGAGATGAAGCCATCTCCGTATTTTCAGATTTATTTATTTTCTTTTTCTTTTCCGTGTGGTTGGTTCTTTTCTTTTTGAAATATTTTTAAGAGCATGTAAACTTGCATATGTAGATATCGGCGTCTCTCTCTTTTTGTAAAGCATTATTCTACCCGCTCTTCCTCATTCTCCCTGACTTCTACGAAGTAATCATCTAAATATCGAACAAATCTACCCTCGATGTCCCCTTCCCCCTTTACTTATTACTATTTGAAGCGATAGGCGGCATCCTCCAGCGAAGTTTTTCTTCTTTGCTTTTCGCACGCGCACACACCCCTTCTCTCTCCCCTTCTCTCTCTCTCTCTCTCTCTCTTTTTTTTTTTTTTTTGAAATCATTTGGGTACCCCATGATCTTGTTATGATGCACTATGCATTGACAATGGTGGGAGACTGGGAGCCCGCTACATAACTGTCCATCCAAAGGCTTTTCCAGCCTCCCTTCTTACTACGCCTCTTCTTCCTACACTTCTACACTTCTGCACTTCAACAGAAAACATCCTTTCACCTCCTCAGGATGAACACCATTGCCCGATATGTTTATTTTTGGTTTTCTCAACTCTCTATACTGAAAGGGTTTTATCGCGGCCGCACAGGAGAGGACTCCTATATTTGATGGGCCAGGATGGGTTTTGTTGTTATCTTGTAGGAGCTAGCTACATAGAAGAAAAAAAATATATAAAAAATGAAAAATGAAAAATGTAGTCTACATCTCTTTTTTGTCCTTCGTTGTATTTATTTTTCGATTTTAGGTCTTGAAGGGGTTTGCTCTTGTTGTGCCATCCATGGTCATATAATTAATTTATAATTTGGGGAATATATATAGGCTAAAATAAAAACATTTGACACTGCGTTTACATGTACAGAACATTCCAAAGCCGTAAAACCAGCCCCCTTGCTAATAAATCACAACATATACAGAGTCCAAATCTACCCATCCCGCCCCGGCGGGCACCTACCCCCCTTCCCACCCCCGAGATTGTAAGGAAGACGATACCGCTCCCTGCACGACTGGCGTTGGAGTAGGCGAAGGGGATAGCGGCCACCCCTCTTCCTTTCCCCCATCACCCTGCGTTGAGATTGAGCCAAAATGGCTCCTATTCGTCGGCGACGGCGGCGCCAGCTTCGAGTGGGGAGACGCCTGTTAGAGGAACTAGAATGTATCGCCATCGCCCCGTTCGACGACTGGTCCTCAGGAATATATATAGTTTTGTCCCGTGCGGAACAAGGTCGAAACCTTCGTGTCGTACTCGAAGCGCCGCAGCTCTGCCTCGCTGTCGTCGCTGCGCCTTAATGGAGGTAGGGAGTCCAGTGGGTGGGACTGGGGATCATTGCTGGATGCAACTTGAGATCCTTTCCAGCTGCCTGCGAGCGGGGTGGTTGAGGTTTGAAGACTTGAGGCGTGTGGTAGCTGGTTAGAGGACGTGGGATATGGTGTCCTCCGTGTTTCCCACCATCGGGGAAATAGTCGTGCAATAAGCGATTTTAATGCTGGGGTTGCTGCGGCCCAGATTGCACAGTTTGTTTCTATGTTGGCGTATGTGTATTTGGTATCGTATATTTGTTCCCTGGGGGTTTTGGAAAAGTTCTCAACGACTATTACAGCGCGTACGATTGAAAAGGCTGTCACACTAGCGGAAGAAAGGTAAGAAGAGGTAACGAGTTAGCTGATTTTGATTTCTGGAATTGCATAGTGGTTTAAGAAAGGGACCACTGTGGGAATTTGTCACTGAGGCAAAATGATTCAGCAGTTGGGGTCAGTCGGGTAAGAAGGATAACATACACAGCTCCAATGCTCAAATACAATCACAACCATAAATTTCTGCCTCCTTGTCATGTTTATCCCCCATACGATAGCTGATGGAATAGACAAAAGCCAGGCATCCAGGATTATTGTAATCAGTGCCATTGTTAGAAAAAAGCCTCTCTGCGGGAGACAAGTTCCCCCCTTGACCAGCTTTCCATCTTTCATCCCATTTTCATCAGCCCCAGCAGCTTGCTGAGCATTACGATCCATTTCCTCCGAATCCCAAGCATACTGTACAGGTCTGCACTGGAATATATTGGCAAGGAAGATAGCGATCCCCGCGCAAAGGTTGACAACGAACAAGATACGAAGCGTTAGTACGACGTACTTGAGAAGGCCTCTCAGACTGAGGATGAAAGCAAAGATAGATGCCCTCACGCAGGTGAGAATAGGAAAATAGAGGAGCTGATTTGCAAGGTTGTACTGCTTGCCCTTAATGGTGTATGGGACGCGCCCTGGTGGAAAATATTCAGGTGGATACCCCTGCTTGGTGTGAATCGTATCTATACCTGCAAGTTAGAGGGACGATAGAATCTGATCTGGGGCCTGTAAACGGAAAAAAAGAAAAGGAGGAGAGAGAAGCAGCAGAGGAGAGCCATAGGCAAAGCATGACTTACACCCCAACTGGTCGCACACATCCCTATCGCTAGAACCTAGATTTTCTTCAGTTAGATGGTGAAAAGTCATTCTTTCTTGGGATGGGAAAGGTTTCCATCCATACCACTGCAATTATCACAAACACATCATCTATCGGCAATATCACATAAGTATTAGTTTGTCAGAAATATGCATAATAGCGACTGAGGGCCAACTATATAGAGAGAATGAATGGGTTTGCTTTGTATTTGGGCGCACTCACCCCATCCCCAATTCTTCAACAAATACCTGGAGAAAATGCGCAATGCGAACAGGGCAAGGCTTATGGCTGAAAAGACCGTGATTACCACCAAAGCTTGCACATGGCTTTCTGGAGCCATGTTCTTCCAATAAACAGCCTGTCAAGTCACGAGAAGAGAACGCGAGAGCGCGCTTCCCCCTATGAAATCGTGGCGACTTCGAATCTCGATAAGGCGGCCGTGGCGAAGTTGCTCGAATCCCAGAGGGGAGAGAGTGCTTAAAATCCAGAATAATGCAGTACTAATACATGGAAGGCAACAAAAACCAGAACGACATCGTCAGTTGGGATATGTAGACATTGGGAGTCGAAGATTTTGCCCACGGCAAAATCTCTATGGACAGCAAGCACACTCGTGTATGCCAGAAGAGAGCAGCAGTTTTCCCAGAGATAAAGACAGAGAAACAGAGAGAGAAGCTTGAGCCACCCCCGCCAATTCGATGCAGGGTGGGTTGGTAGAAGTGTAAAAGTCTGGCGGAGTTGGTGTATCCAGCTGCTTGTCTCCCCAGGTTTGCGGTCTAAACACCCCCTAGCGATAAAGACCGGGCGGGCTTGGTTGCAGAGTGCAAACCCGTACGGAGTAGTATGGACGACTATGGTATGGATACTGCACTAAAATAAGTTGATATCATACTATGCGAATGCCCTAACTCGCAAAGGGGACAAAGGTTTTAAAGGGTCTGCCCTCTGGAAAGGAACTAGAGGCATACCAGATCCGTAGTACGTACGCCTTTCAACCCTCGAATCTCTGTACAGATGTACTCCGTACAGGGCTTGAATTGTGTAAGTTAGTAGTACATAGTCCGTCCAGTCCGTACATAGATGTGGCTGTCTGTCGAAAGTCAAAAGAGTAAACTCCGCCTGCCCTAACTAACCAATTTAGGCAAATGGGTTGTGGCGGGACAAGTTATTCGATTATGATCATCAGAACTAGGCATCTTATCATTCCCTAGGTCATTATATCATAGATAATTTCTGTTGATAGTTTGCTCCAGCTACTGCACTCCCATGTCTCACATTCTATATAGAGAACCTCACTAGGTAGATTATAATAAACACAACATTGATCCTCCTACAGTTTCATTTCATTATTGACAGAAAGAAGAGAAGGAAAAAAATTATGAAAAATCCCCTATCACGGAGTTAAAATCCCCTGCGTAATCAGCGTTATATATATATAAATATTCTTCAACCGTGGTTCAAATGGAAACAAAAAATCCATCACCCTGATCCTTCACCCGACTCCTTTCCACAATCGGATCGCAACAACTAATCCGAATCCTCTCCGGCGTCGCCGGACTCTTCAAGCTAAGCACCTCGTCAACCCCCCATTGTTTCCGTGCCGCCTTCAGCGCATCCCGTATCGCGAAGAAGACAGCACTACCCATGAAAAGCGGCGGTTCGCCAACCCCCCTGGATCGCTGGATGGTCCGGAGATTCTCCCATTGCACATCCTTGAGCAAACTCACATTGAACACCTGCGGTATGTCTCTGAAGCCGGGGATTTTATACGTGCCCGGTCCACGGGTGAAAATCTGGCCCGAGGCCCGGTGCCAGAGGCTCTCTTCTGTCGTGAAGAGGCCCTGGCCTTGGATGAAGGCACCTTCGATCTGTCCGTAGTCGATAGCTGGGTTTATACTCCGTCCCACGTCCATTTTTATATCTGCGCGCAGCGGCGTCCAGTCGCCTGTTAACGTATCGATCTGGACTTCAGCTGCCGTAACTCCTTGGGTGAAGTAGTAGAACATCAGGCCCTTGTTCTCGCCCCACGTATAGCCTATGTCGGGCGTCTTGTAGAAACCGTTTGCAGTGAGATTTACTCTGTCAAGATACGCTGCTTTGACTAGCTGTTTCATCGTCGCGTCGGGCATTTTTTCCCTGTATGGTTGGAGGCGCTGGTTGAGCTGTTCGCAGGCATTAAAGACTGCATAGCCGTTGAGGTCAGAGCTTGCGGAGGCTGCCGTGGGAGATGCATTAGCCACGGTGTTGGTAGCCGTTTCAGAGATGAAGACGTCGGACTGAGGAACACCAAGTGCCTCTGCTGCGATCATGACCATTTTGGTATGCAGGCCTTGGCCCATTTCGGTGCCGCCGTGAGCAACAAGGACACTACCATCATTATACAAATGCACCAACGCACCAGCCTGGTTCAAGAATAGGGCAGTGTACGATATACCGAATTTTGTTGGAACAATAGCAAGGCCTCTTTTGGACCATTTGTGAGTTCGGTTATATTCCGTAACCGCTGCGCGACGGGAAGCATAATCCGACTCGTCCAGAACCTGCTGGTACATGAGAGGCACGTACCAATCGGCATTGAGAACCTGATTGAAATGCGTCTTGTCCCCTCGACTGTACATGTTTATCTCCTGAAGCTTTTCCACGGGGATGTTCAGATGATCCGCGATCTCTGACATGTATGTCTCAGCGAAAAATAGGCCTTGGGGTCCACCGAAGCCGCGGAATGCAGTGTTGGACACCGTATTTGTACGGCAGACATGCCCACGTACATGAACGTTAGGAATGTTATAGACACCATCAATGTGCGATAAACATCGATCAACCACCGCAGCAGACAGGTCTTGGGTATGGCCCGCGTTAGCATAAACATCGGCATCCAGCGCCAATAGCTTTCCTTCTTTTGAAACACCGACTTTCCAGTGGCAGAGAAACGGATGTCGTTGACCGGATGTCAGAATATCCTCATCACGATTCAACATGCAACGAACGGGGCGCTTAGATTTGGAGGCAGCCACTGCGCAGATACCAGCCAGCTGAACCGATCTAGATTCTTTCCCTCCGAACCCACCGCCAAGTCGTTTGACTCTCGATACAACCTTGTTAGATGCAACCCCAGTGACCTGGGCCACATACTCTTGCCTATGCAAATTGTTAATAAGTTCATTCTAAAATATCTCCTAGAAATTACAAGAAAAGAAGACGAACTCACGTTTCGTTAGGGTTTTGCGTACTACTCCAAATCTCCATCTCCCCATCCTCTGGCTTGGGAATAGCCACGCACGCCTGGGTCTCAAGATAGAAATGCTCCTGCCCGCCCATTCTTGAGACGCCAGTGAAAACATGATCCGCTGTGGCGAAGGCAGCCTCTGTGTCACCACGCTTAATATAAGGATTATGATGGTCATAAAACGAGTTTGCTTCAATCGCTTGCTCAATGGTCAGAATGGCAGGTAACTCTTCATACTCAACCTTGACAGCTCGTGAACCCGCTTCGGCCAATCGTGCGGACGTAGCAAGAACCATCCCAATGGGCTGACCAGCTGTGAAAACCTCATCGACGGCAAAAAATACCTCATCAGCTCTTGGATGGCCCCACCAATTTGCTTCTGGGTTCGGCAGGCTGGTGTGATCGACGTAGTCGATTACACCTGAGATATCCAAAGCAGGGCTGAAATCGACGCTTAATAATTTTGCCCGAGGCTTTGTGGAAAGGACAAGGCACCCGTAGAGTTCGTTGTGCTGAGGGGGGATGTCATCTGTGTATTGGGCTTGACCTGTAGTCTGCTTCAGAGCAGCGACATGGGGTACCTCCTTTCCCAAAATGCGCTTTTCATATGACTTGGTAGCTGCATGATCTTTCTGACCAGAGGATATTTCTCGTTCGATTTCTGGGACCGCTTCGTTGTCGACCGTGGTGGTGTTCCCCTGGATACTGGAGAGCACATCGTGGTAAAACCGATAGAAGAACCCCAGCGCAAGAGTTTTCCTGTATGTTGGCATCCCACCCGGAACTGAGGATGGAAGATCAAAATCCATTTCCAAAGCATTCATTACACCTTCAAGTGTGGCGGGATCAGCCCAGTCCTTTCCGACAAGGAAAGTTTGTGCTTGCCTAGCAGAGACGGTGGTTGGGGCCATGCCGCCGTATACTAGGTTCGCACTTGTCACGATATTTGAATCCGAGAGCGAGACCCGCGAAGCAGCATTGACAATGGCGATATCATCATCCTTTCTTTTTGCCTGCTTGTACGCCCGGAGATATTCCCGAGATTCCTGGCCTACGGGGATCCGCAACGATGCAACGATAGAGTTGGCTGCCAAAGCCGTAGCTCGATATCCCTTGAAAAATTCTCCCATCGGAATCTCCGTATCTCCCTCTAGAGATTTTGCAACTAGGACCGTGTCAGTTGCAACGAAAACTGGATTTAGGTCGGATATCGGTGAAGCGGTTGTGATATTTCCTGCTGGCGAGGCAACATTGCGAATCTGCCTTCCAGCAAAGTACTTGATTTGTTTCTTGATTGCAGCAAACACCTGGCCCTTATTTTGTCCATATCTCTTAACCGCTTCATCGCAAATAGCCTCCAAATCCGTCAAGGTGACATTCGCACCCAATTCCAAGCAATCGTCCTTGAAAACGTACTGTTTCAACTCTGGAATATCGCCAACATATACCGAGTCGACATATTGCATGGCCTTGAACTTGACCTCAATCTGTGTCTCCGTGCTGCCCCCAATAATCTTGGCAGATGGACAAGCGTCCTTGATCTCCAATAACTGCTGCACGGTGACAGGACGGTACCAGCGTTTTTTCTTGTTTCCAAAGGCCAACGGTTTAAACTCATACTTTTGTAACGACGGAGGGAAAATCAACTCAGTATCGGGTTTATAGGGGATGAAATCCGGCGCATCGAAGGACTTCTCGATTGCGACACTGTCGTCATTACTGATCTCACCATTTGTTGACGCCTTATCCTTATCCATACAACAACCTCCCGATTGTTTCTTTTCCATGCAACAACCTGGCCCGCCGTTGGCACTTGCTTTCCTACAAGAAAATGACTGGGCGGCGTCGAGGATGGAGCGGTATCCAGTACACCGACAAAGATTGCCATCGAATGCTTCTTCGATTGCATGTTCCGACGGAGCGGGGTCATTACGTAGCAGAGCATATAAACTCTAGTTATCCAAGATATGAATTATTTAGTGAATGCGATTAAAAGCCACAGCACGTAGAGCGCAGTAGAAGGCATGCGTAACCCTTTTTATCAACCAAAAAAGGGGAGTTATAACATCTTACCATGACAATACCCGGCGTACAAAACCCACACTGGCTACCATTCGCCACAGCGATTCTTTGTTGAACGGCATGCGGGCTTTTCACATCTCCAATCCCCTCCACTGTGATGACATGTTTCCCATCCACACTGACAAGCGGTGATAGGCAGGCGTTGACGGATGCATGGTATATTTGCTTGGTCGTGGGGTTCAGTTGCGAGATAACCTGGAAAGGCACAGCCCGTTAACATCAACATATACCATCCAAGAGGAGATATCATATAAACATCACCTATACATACCACTGTACAAGCACCGCACCCGCCCTCTGCGCATCCCAGTTTGGTCCCCGTCAGCCCGACGCCCCTAAGATATTCCAACAAGGTGACCTCAGGATCGGCATTTTCCAGCACAACCTTTGATCCGTTGAGATAAAATCGGAGAGAACTGTCATATTTCTCTGTTACGGCGGCTAGTGTAGGGGTCTGCTTTAGGACTCTGGAGGAGTCGGGGAGCTGGAGGATAGCAGGAGCCATGTTTCTTGCTTTTCCTGACTGTAAATAAGGGGAAGCTTCATTCGATCCTGAACAAAAGGATGGTCGTAGTATTTGTTTATGTGCGTAGATGATGTGTACACGTTTACGTCGTAGGGTATATATATGGTCATCGCGTCGGGAGAGTGTAAGACCAGCTAGGTCATAGCTTTGTGCGCGATGTCTGGAAGCTTCGTAAGAGTGCAAAGCAAAGTAGATATCGAAATATGCAGGTAAGTTAAGGAACGCGCCAGCCATCAAGGAGTGATATTGGAACCGTCCAAGAGTGAGGAGGCGACGTGCTGTACTTATTCATTTTGCTCCTTGGGAGAAGATGGGGTGGGGTTTGCCGCTGCTTTTAGCATATTTAGCTCTATGTGGATGGATGGAATCGTTATTCTAACCACTAAATAAATATTGTACCTACTCGGTACAAATTTGTAGTATTATTATTTGAATATTATATGCAAGATTTAACTAACTACTCTAATAATAATAAAGTTACGTCATAACTATGGATTAAGTATTGCAAAAAATCTATTTGAATATCTAGGAGTACGATGTAAATACTGTAACTAGTTATCCACCGTGACTGCAGAACTGGTGATACTCATCACTCATCAACACATTTAATACCTCACAACACCTAGAATATTTATATAGAAATTAAATGTCTATAGTAAATAACTTCTAATATATAAATTACAGGGTAAATATTAATTTTATTTTGATAATAAATTTAAGGGGCTGAATCCCTTACTCTGGAGCAGCAGCATTTCCAAGGCAATTGTATGTACAGCGTAACTTTAAGCTTCCTCTTAGCTTCCTCTAGCTCACTCAATGCCTTTACATCTGAACGATAGGGGCAATCATATTTGATATATATATATGTATATCTCCAGCCATCGTCAAGCTTACCGTTGCCGTTGGAATCGAACAGTTCTAGTTATGATTGAGAGAGTCAGCTACATATACAGTACAATGTTTCCAATTTCTGGCCCTTGTGTGCGAGCTCTGAGCATTGCTAACCTAGCTGTCAAAAGTCAAACTCCATGAAGGAGTGCGGTGTCGTCGCCAGTGTTCGTCACCCTGTTTATAAAACCGCACCCGAGCCAGTTCTTGATGTACTGAGCGAGGAGCTCAGGCTCCGAACTGCCCAGCTCAAAAACCACTGAATCTGATATCATCCTTCGACTTCAGATTGGACTGCATGTCCAGGCTACCAAGCCGCTATTGCAAACTTGCTCCATGTCAACCTCTAGTTACGGCTACTGAATCCTGCGACCTGGCGAGCAGCGACCACAGCTATATTTCGACGCCAAAAAAAAAAAAAAAAAAAAAAAAAAAAATACGCACTTTACAGAAATCGTGGTAACTGAGTTGCCCGGAGCGATATCCGCCATGTTCTTCCATAGCCAGGTTCTTTCTTTCTTACTCCGGACAGTTCGGTGGTAGAGAATCGAGCTGAATCCGGGAAGAGAAGAGATGGTGAAATGGTCTATCTTACAACAACTGTGAACATACAAAAAGGATGTCAAGGAGGACACAGGAGGATTTTTGAGCTTGAATAGCTAAACTACCCCTGTTTTCTTCTCTTCTCTTTTCTTTTCTTCTATTTTGTTCTCTTGTGATGCCTCCCATGATGTAAGGGGCCTACGCCGAATAGATCGGTATAATATTGATAGGTCTTATATAACAAAGATAAAAACGTTAGAGAAGGAAAGAAAGAGAAAGTGTGAGAATCAGCAATCAAGGTGGATATTTATACGCGTATGTGGTGGCGTACGCGGTGGAGCTTTGGGGCGGGAGAATATACACATGTTCATAGTGGCTGAGGATCAGTGATTGAGAATGACTGAGAATCAAAGTGTACATGTTCAAGAATGAAGTGATTGAAATCTGTGAAGTGTAATGAAATAGTCTATATGATTGATCAGGCGCAGCCTGCTATATTAGTCCTCTCTTTCAGAAGCAGTTCTCATCAGTCAAGAGCTGCTGTTTCAGATAATATAGAACTCAAAGTTCAGGTCAGTTGATTGTAGTCAACTCATTTCATAAGATATTATCAGTCACAGTCACAGAATCTCTTATCAAGAATATTCTCAATCTCTCACTCAAGCTCATTATCTTCTTCTATGATATCTGATAACTGTCAGTCAGAAGTCAGTTGAGAAGAGAACAGATCAGTGACAGTGCAGTAAAACAAGCTTATATGAAATATATTATAAATTTCTGATAATGTGTTAAGATGATAGTTATGACTATCTAGAACTTCTATCACTTTATACTTAATATAACAGTAATCTAGTGTATGAGATGAATATATAGTTTGTATATTCTTAAGATTCAATTATATCAGATCTTCTATCTTATATTATTTAGTGAGATCTCAGTGAATATTAATTTAATTCTCTTAATCTTGTTTTACAGTTATTATAAAGATCTCTGCTCAATCACAGATATCTTAGAGTTTTATTACTATATTATCAGTGATCTGAATCAGACTGCAGAGATTCAGTGTGAACTGTGTAATCTTTAAAAGATTTAACACTTTTATATGATATTCATGTGTAAGAAAGAATGAGCTTATATCTATTAAAATAACATCTCAACTGTTAATAGTGATCTCTGTGTATAGAAGAAGATTATATTAATTATCTTATAAGTAATTATAGAACTTATAAAGATAATTCTTCATAGTTTAAATTATCTATTCTGATACATTATCAGTCTCAGAGTGATAGATAGTTAATAGACAGTGTATAATTTTAAGAACTTAATAGATTCTTATTCAGAGAGTGCTTATAAATTAATAATTTTAATTTAATACTATAGATCTCAGTAATCTATATATCTGATAGAATAGACTCTATAAAAAAGCTTCAGTGACTTGTTCAGTATTTATCTTATTATAAGATTTCAATATTATATCTTTACTCAGTTAATTTACAATAATTAGAATATTTCTATAACTCTTACTCTTAAATAGATTAATAATAAAGTTAATTACTACATCTTATCAAATTCTATTGAAAATATTAAATAATTTTAATATGTGATGAGCTGTGTCTGATCAATTATATAGACTATTCTGTTACACTTCACAGATTTCAATCACTTCATTCTCAAACATATACACTTCAATTCTCAGCTATTCTCAATCACTGATTCTCAGCTGCTACAAACGCGTGTATATTCTCTCACTCTGAAGCTCCACTGTGTACATTATCATATACATGTATAAATATTCATCTTGATCACTGATTCTCACACTTTCTCTTTTCTTTCTTCTCTAATGTTTTTATCTTTGTTATATAAAACCTATCAATATTATACTGATCTATTCAGCGTAGGCCTCTTACACTATAAAAACATTCATTGTCTTCTCATCAGAAATAATTATTTATCAAGAGATATCTGAACACATAACAACATGTAAGAAATGAAGAAACAGTTAAACAGTTAAGCAGATACTGAGTTCTCAGATAGTTCTCAGATAGAAGCTTGCTTATCAGTCACTCTGATCTTATAACAAGATCTTATGAAGAGAATAAGATCTTATAAGAGAATATCAGTGAAAGACCTGAGAGTTCTGACACTTAGATATATAAGAATACAATTACACATCTGACAATTGATATAATCATGTCTAATGATAATATGAAACTCTTAAACATGAGTATAGATGCAGTGCCACAGTGACTCTGAGTAATGTTAAAACTACAACAACAATAAATAGCTGATATACATGCAACTTAACAATGCTAATATGAAGAGATTTAATAACTAATTCACATAATTTTAACATCTACAGAATCAAATACAAAAGTATTGAAAGAATACTTAAATACTTCTGTATATTTTAATACTTCTGATCTCACTCTCTACTCATTATGAAGAATGAAAATGCTTGTGAAACTGAGTGTAGATGAAGATGTCATTGATTTATTAATTAATCAAGATTAATATATCAATGAATGATTGAAAGATTGCATGAAACAGAAGTTTTATTCATGAATAAAAGTATATGAATCAGTGTTATGAACATCTGATAACATCATGAAATATCTTGATATTCTGTTTCAAGACACTGTTATACAACAGAAAGTATTAGATTGACTACAGAGTACTTAACAGAGAAACATTTCTCTTACAATATTCATCTCTGACTTCAACATCAAGATTCTAGAAGCAGGTAGTCAATCTTGAGAGAATTGAATAAAGATTAGTATGCTTAAGAAGATATTAACTTTCAAACTCTTACAAGCTCTTATAAGTATAGATAAAGATCAGACTTATAAAGGCTTCTGTACACAGCTCTGAATAATGAATGACTGTCTTACTAAGCTCAAGAATATATAGAACAGTGACAGAAGATATTATATCTCAGTAACTTATACACTCATGCTGAGAAATAACAATAATGCAGATGCTATGAATTGAGTAGACTTAAATATCTATATATAAGTAAGAATCTCTGCTGTTCAGACAGGCTTTTAAGTCTCTGAGATCACTTCTGAAGAAGTTGCTGATTAATGTTAATATAAAGTATGTATTAACTGTAACTGATCAGAATACATTACTTTCAACTGCTGATTAATCTATGTATCTTCATACTTGAGAGAAAGATCAGTGTCTTCTCATTTGAAGAATAAATCAGTGTCTGTCTGTGTCAATCATGTTACATTAGAGAAAGATTCAGAAGATAACTATAAGAATATCTCAGTGAAACAGAGAAAAGATTAGCTTCTGTTCAAATTCATAAACAGAAGCTTAAAGAGGTCAGATAACAATAATTTAAAGAGAAGATAATAATGAATACAATTCTTGTATCTACTGTGATTGATAATATATATAATATGAAAGTCATGATAGACAGCAGTCTATATTACTATACAATAATAAAATCTTCAGTTGTAAGATATTATAATCTTCAGTATATCTCTTTATTAAAATCTCAACTCCTTGCAGAATTTGATGATTTAAAAGACATTTGTACTCATTACATGATAAAGCTGATTATAGATGTGAAAGAACATCAACATAAAGATGTCTATATATATGAAGTTAATAATCTTGATTACAATCTTATACTAGAACTTGTCTGACTATCTAAACAAGATATCTTATTAAACACTTAAAACAGAAGCTTGATATTCTCTAACAATGATAGAATTCATGAAGATGATATTCATAAGACTATTAATCTGACACAGATCTCTGTCAATATCTATGAAATACTCAGAAAAAGAAGTCACTGAAAGAATCACTGACAGTAGAATTATATATCAATCTATTTCATCAGTCTGATCAATATCAAAAAGACTCTAGAAAAATTATCTTATATTATAATAACAGATTCTTATACAAAACTCTCTTAATAATATTATAAAT